GGATGAGAGAAGAAATTTTCCCTGATCATAATCTTTCAATTAGTTCCATTTCCTTCACCATCAAAGGACATATGAATCGTCTTCCTACTCAAAGCATATGCTACCACATTCGCTTTTCCTGGATGATAACTCAAACTAAAGTCATAATCTTTCAGGAATTCCAACCATCTTCTCTGCCTCATATTAAGCTCTTTCTCATCAAACAGATACTTCAGACTCTTATGATCACTAAACACTTCAAACCTCGAACCATACAAATAATGCCTCCAGATTTTTAACACAAATAATGCCTCCTTTCATGCACTCTCAGTTGTCGCGACGCATAAGCTACCACCTTACCATCTTGCATAAGAACTCCGCCTAATCCCATCTTAGACGCATCACAGTACACCACAAACGGTTCACTCGGATTTGGTAACACCAATACCGGTGCCGTAGTTAATCTCTTTTTCAGCTTTTCAAAGCTCTCTTCACAACATCCCACACAAAAGCTTGATCCTTTCTCGTTAACTGAGTCAGTGGTAATGCCAAATTAGAAAATCCTTCTATGAACCATCGGTAATAACCAGCTAAACCCAAAAAGCTTCTAATCTCTGTTACCAGCACTTACCTTGGGTCTACTGCTATACCATCACCAGATATCACATGCCCCAAGAAACTAACAGTATTCAACCAAAAGTTTCACAAACAACTTATTATCCTTCAACACCTGTAGGGCGATTCTCAAATATCCTGCATGTTCTTCATCGGACTTAGAATAACATTCAATTCATATGTTGATATTTATAATCAGTTACAAGAATACATCATATATTTATAACGGAATTAAGTTGCAAGAATACATCCTATATTTATAACGGAATCAGAATACATCCTATATTTATAACGGGGAATCAAAATACATCCTATATTTATAACGGAGTTACAATAATACATCCTATATTTATCAGAATAAATCCTATATTTATAACGGGGAATCAGAATACATCCTATATTTATAACGGAATCAGTTACAATAATACATCCTATTATGTTAATATTAGTTACAAGAATTCTTATGATATTTATAATGAGTTACAAGAATACTTATAATCATAATATTTATAATGAGTTACAAGACAATTGTGAGCCATTCATTTTATTTTACCAAAAATACATACCATTTTATTTATTATTAAAATTTCTAAAATATTTTATATATAAATTCAAAAATTTTATCCTTACTCATTAAAAAATAAGTTAACATTATTCTTAATTTAATAAAAAAAATTATTTTTTAAACAAATTTAATATTTTTTTAATTTAATAAATCTTAAATTTAATTTGAAATCAATTAAACTCTAAATATATATTTATATTGTTAATTCAATTTAAAATTAATTAAATAATCAAAATCCTTGATTTAAAATGTATTTTATATTTAGTAAATTTTAAGTAAATAAACTCTAGATATTATACTTTTATAAATATATATTATATTAATATCATTTAAAACTAATTAAATAAACAAAATCTGAATTGATTTAAAATAACATTTAAAATTTTATTTAAATAAGACTTTCTTAAATTTCAATAATTTAATATAAATCAAATTTCATTATATTTTTTAATTATTCATATTTTTATTGATCAATGGCATAGTTATATTATGATTTGCCACCCATCTTAATATTGAAATCATATAAATCAAAAAGCTAAATTAATATCAACGAAAACAGAAAACGGGAGAAAACGGGATGAAATTGTTCAGAGATGAAAAAAACATAAATAAACAAAAAAAATTCCACCAAACTTAAAGATGTAGATGTAGTCCAGCAATAAACCCGACGCAATCGAGAAAGATCACGCAAGCAAATGATAGAACAACAACTAAATTACTTTCGCAAACGAAGAAATTGCCTCAGAACATTCGTGAAATACACGGTTAAGGGACAGAGTGAGTTTGCTTCAAAAGATAAATAAAAAATGTTGCAGTACTAAAGGGTCTGAAAGATCAGATTGAAATCAAATTCAGACGAGTGAGCCTGCATCCAAATTGATATCCGCAAGTATGAAAACATAATTGATTGAACCGTAGAATCCACAGAGTTCAATCAAGAAGCTGACTTGCGTTTCATATAAAAAAGAAAATAAGAGAAAATAATCAACAATAAGAGAGGTGTTGATATATGATATATCAATTGATATATGATATATCAATGAAAATTGAATAAACAATTTTGAAAATCACAACAGAAAAAATAAAAGGAACGCGAGATCGGTGTTCTTCCAAAGAGATGAGTGTGTGGTGTTTATATAGGGAATGAGGGAAGCCGCTAGGGTTTTTGTTCACACAATCTGTATAACTTGTGAGATACGTATGGGTCGGGTCCTTCCTGGATCTTCTTAGAAATTAACGTAGGCCCATTTTTGGCCCAATTTTATTTTAGGAAAATTGTATTTTAAAACTATTTTAAAAAGTGGACATTTTTTTAACAAAAATAAAAATGAAAGTTTATATTAGTCCTTTAGTTTAGTATAGGGTGTATAGTTGCAACTATGCATCTTTTTTAGAATTATCAAGTATTGTTGAAATTAAATTAAATTTTTTATCATTGAATAAATTTATTTGAATTGTAGTGATCAAATCATCTATCTTATGAGAATGGTTTATATAGAAATTAAGACAGGTGTATTGGATTGATAGTTTAAAATATTCTAAGAGATTTTTTGTTGTTTAAAAAGTCTTTGTGTTCAATCTAAAAATTTATGAAAATTAAATCAATCTTGTGTTATTCAATTAAGACTTCATACATATATAAAAATTAAAATAATTAGAATAGATTTTATGGAACTTTTGAATTATAAATACAAATATAACCATCTCACTCAAGTCCATAAGCTTTCATATTTGTTATATTTCTCTTTTTTCTATTTACTTTTTTTCTCTATCATCTTCATCATGATATTTTTTTATTAGCTTTTTTTCTTTCTTTTTTAATATCGTGTTTATTTATTTCGATTGATTTATTAATTAAGTTTATGTTATGTTATTTTTATATTATTAATATTTTATAAGTGGATATTGTTTTTATTATGTATTTTTATTAATTTTTAATTAAATTATTAATATATTTGCACTAAAACTTTGGATAATTAGAAAATAATATTTGGTGAGAGGTGTAGCCGATCCATGCACGCTTGATATGGCTTTGTAGTAAGAAGTCCTTTGGTAAAAATGAAGATGTCAGCTCAAAGCTCTATCTCTATGTATTCTAGGATGTAATCCCGTCCACCAATACTTAAAAATGGTGATAGATTTTGCATGCATTCAGGGGCGGTTCTGGGAGGCCTAATATTTTTTTTTTCTGTTGTTTAAAAAAAATAAAATAAGTTTTAAAAAAATGAAAAGAAAAAGAAAAAGAAAATTGAATAGAAAAAGAAAGTAAGGGTTCACCGTTCACGCAAAACAGAACCGTCACTATTCCGACAACGTCGTCCAACTCGCCGCACTGCCACTATTCCGCCAATGTCGTCCAACTCGCCACACCGCCACTATTCTGCCAACGTCGTTCAAGAACCGCCCCTGCGTCCAACTCCTCAAATCCAAAATCTATGTCGTCACTTTCAGTCTTTCACTGTGTTCTGAAATCAGCCAATGTGAGTTATGTCATTTGATATGCTTAAGTAGAAAATTTTACAATTTGTTATGTTTATTTCCAATTTTTTGATGTAGAATGTTGATGATGGCAGTGATATTTATTATGTTTATTTACAATCTTATGATGTAGAAAAATTTGTTGACAGTGAAAATGTGAGATTGTTGATGACAAAAAAAATTGTAAAAAATTTTATGAAGAATCCAAACCAATTTTTTCTATAATTTTAGCAATTGAATTGGTTGAATGGAATTGAGTTTGTTGAGTGGTTGAATGGAATTGATGACAATAAAAATTTTACAATGGTTGAATGGAATTGATGACAATAAAAATTGTTGAATGGTTGAATGGAATACAATTTTACAATTAAGTTTCTAACAGTAAAAATTATTAAAAAATTGGTTGAATGGAATTGAATTTGGACAGTAAAAATTTGATGACAGTAAAACTTTCTATAATTTTAGCATAGAATCCAAACCAATTTGATGACAGTAAAAATTTGCTTATATTATGCTTGTAAAATTGAATTTGTTTGGAATTGGATTTGCTATGCTAAGTGCTTATGGAATTGGAATTGGATTTTCTATGCTAAGTGCTTATGGAATTGAAATTGAATTTGCATACTATAAGTGCTTATGGAATTAGATTTTCTATGCTTATTATAAGTGATAATGAATTCAGTGTTTTTTTTATAAGTGATAATGTTTGGAATTGGATTGATTAAGTGATAATGAATTAAATTTTTTTTTATAAGTGATTATGTTTGGATTTTTTTCCAGAGATGAGGAGATTTTTGGTTGAGTCAGAACCAGAACCACCTCCGCCTAATATGGTTAATGAGTTTAACCCAAATGAGATTGTGTGTGATCCAGGTCGTAGGAAACAAATTAATGAGTGTGTTCCGGATATTCAAGATCAAGTGAGGAGGGCATATATATTGAAAGGTCCAATGCAACCAGAGTTGCCAAGCTTTCCTCGTACTACATTTGGAAGTGTTAAAAGAGCATTTAGTAAATCATGGTATAAGAATTATACATGGTTAGAATACAGTGAGATCAAGGATGCAGCTTATTATTTTTATTGCTTTCTCTTTAAGAAACCCGGGAGGCCCGAGCATTTGGTTTTGAAGTCTTCACTAAAAGCGGATATAAAGATTGGAAGCATGCATCTCAAGGCTTGAAAGATCATGTTGGTAGTCATAATAGTTTTCACAACTCATGTGTCAAGCACTACGATGATTACAATAATCAAAGACAAAGTGTGGCAAGTAAGTTTGTTAAAGCAACCAAGGAATCAGAAGAATTGTATAAGATTCGTTTAACTTGTTTTGTAGATTGTTCAAGATATCTCATTGCACAAGGCATGACTTTCCATGGCCATGATGAATCCTATATTTCTCTAAATAAGGGCAATTTCAGAGAGATGGTATATTGGGTAAAAGTTAAGAATGAACAAGTGCAAGATGCTTTTGACCGTGGTGGAAAAAATTGCACAATGATTTCCAGTGGCATTCAAAAGGAGCTTGCATTGTGTTGTGCACATGAAGTTACCAAGGTGATTTTGGGAGAGCTTGGTGATAGACAATTCTCTGTACTTATTGATGAGTCACGTGATATATCCGTCAAAGAGCAAATGGCGGTGATGTTGAGGTTAGTAGTTGTATTTTCCAATTTATAATTTTCATTACCTATTATTCTTTATGCTTCCAAGTTGTTGCGGTGAGAATCGTGATACCAAGCTATTGATTAACTTGAATCTTTAATTCTTAAATTTACAACCGGACTTTAATTTATCCAAAAAGGAAAGGTTTAAAGAAAGAAAAACCTATTAAAATGCAAAGCAAAAAGTAAGGCTTAAAGCTAAGCAAAGAGAGATCTAAAGGTTCGGGGGTTGGTTATGCATAGGGTAGGTATTTCACATCCTAAACATCTGTAGTACTCTACAGGAACCTCTTGTTAATATTTGTGTTTGCTAAAGTTTGCTTGCTAAAGGGAAAGTGCTAGGGTAAAGGTACAGGTTGAAACGAAGGAAAAAAGAGAAGGTCGAAACGAAGAAAAAGGAAAAGGTTGGAAAAAAAGAAAAAAAGAAAAAGGTTGCTCGCCAAGGATCGGGGCCTTGTGCCTACGTATTCTCAAAAGGTACTTTGAGAAATCAGAGCGTTCGTAGTTCCCCTAACTAAGGGGTAAAGAACTGTTATGTTAAATGGAAGGGAATGTCCACGGAGGGACGACTAAATAGAGCACGGCGACTCCAAGCCTAAGCTGTAAAGATAAACATGGGAAATGTCCACGGCGGGACGACTAAATAGAGCACGGCGACTCCAAACTTAATTTGTAAAGGTAAACGGGAAGTTAGTTGTTAGTGAGCTCGCCAAGATATCGCATCTTGTGCCTACGTATTCTCAACAAGAAATCAGAGCATCCGTAGTTCGTGGAACTACGAGTTGCTAGGTTCTAATAACCAAGAACAACTAAGACAGGTAAAGAACAGACAAGGGACGTGCATAATGACGATAAGTCAACACATAATCCCTTCCCTTAGGTCACAGGGATCAAAAGAAATGCAACAGATACACGGAAAAGCGTCGTAGTAAAACAGAGAGAAAAATACACGGCAAAGCATCGCGTAACAGATTAATTATGGAAAGGCGTCAATATTAAATCAGAGAAACAGGCTAAAGCATAGAATCAGACAAATTATAAAATAGAATCGGACAACAAACAAAATTATTAATCAATTTAAATATAAATATTTAACAAGATTAACTAATAATTTAATTAATCAAATTAAATAAAAATATTTAAATTAATTAATATTTACAAAAATATATTTTTTGCGTTTTTCAAATATTACAAAACTTAATGGAAATAATAAAAACCAAAATATTAATATAATTATTGGTATTTTAAATATTTGATAAAATGATTAAACTAAAAAAAGATGACAATATATAAAAAGAATTAAAAATTGTTTTTTTGGTTTTTTTTCCTTCAGAATCAAATAAGTATTTTAGTAGCACACCATTATGTACACATCACTATATAAAACATGTTGCTACATATTATGCAATGCAAAGTAGTATACACTAACACACAACTAAACCCACATCAAATTATTAGCACATATTGCAACTTAGTCTCCAGTGCACTTAAAATATAGTAACAGTAACCATAAATAAATAAAAATAAAAGTGACACCCCTATCTAATTTATTCTAATACGCTCTCTGCTGAAATAAATTAATGAACATAAACAAAACCAAAAATAAGATTAAAAAAAAACAAGATTATAAGTTCATTTTCAATTTTTTTTAAACAAACAAAAGGCTAGCCATGGATTAACTTTTCTTTTTTTTTTAAACTATATACTAAAAATCATAAACATAAAATGAAAAATAGATACTCACAGTAAAGCGAAAAAACGAGTTTCCTTCTCATCTTCACTGGCCTTCACGGGTGACTTGTTTCTCTTCTTCTCCTTCTCGTAACGGCGGCTCGGTGGTGATGGTCGTGTACGGCGCAACTAAAATGGAAGGGTACAGTTGACGGTGGGTTTTGGTTTATGAAGGACGGCTGTCGTCGGTTTTCCGACGAAAGTTTGACGGAGTAAAAAGGGTGTTTTAGAGTTTATGTTGTTGTTTCTTTTTAAAAAATGAAGAAGATGGAGGGATTATCTAGCAATGTAGTATGGTTTCTTTCAGAAAAATAATGAGAGGGTGAAGTACATGTAGCAGGTTGTTGTTTTAAATGGCTCTTCTTATTTATTTATGTAGGAAAGAGAATATCATGAAAGAATGTGTATTTTATGAGAGGAAGAAAAATCATGCGCATGAATATTGGAAAGGAAGGTTTGAGTTGTGGTGTTTAACGGTGTGTTGTATTTTTTTAAAAAAAAGAAGTTATTGTAAAGGTGGAGAAGTTATAGTGTGAAGTTACATGGAAGTGGTTTTTGGATGGTTTCTTGAAGATAATATTGATGGTTAGTTTGTAATAGAGGGAGATTATGTGTGTGATGGGCGTATGAAGGGAATGATGATGGTAGTATATGGAGTAGTCTTTCTAGCCTCTTTTTTCTCTCCATATTTTGTGGGATTTTGAGGTCTAGTAGTAGTAGCTTTTGTGTATGGGAAAGTAGTGTCACTTATGTACTATATTACCAAAATCTTGAACAAAATCTATTGGAAATGTATACTATCAAATTATAGACTCCTAAAAACTTATCTACAAATTAAAAAAATAAAATTAAAATTGAGACTAAAGTTAAGTATAAAATAGTATTAACTATTTAAAATAACAAACTAAATAAAATATGATTAGTTAAAAATGTATTAATTAAAAGTAGAGATAAAAATGGTAAAAAAAATGAATAATTGGACCGGTATCGAAGTAAACGGAAAAACAAAATGAATATACCAAAATAATCAGTAAAAGTATATAATTCGAAAAAAAAACAGCGTTTTGTCCAATTTTGAAATGAATTTCACCCGCTAAAACGGCTTAAATTGTCCAAAAAATTTATTTCAGCTGATAAATTGAGTATTATAAAAAATGTAAGAGATGATAAACTATATAGACAATGCAAAAAAAATGAGGGTAAAATTTGGGGTATGACACAAGTAAACTTGTCGAATTTGTTTTAGGTTTGTGAACGACAAAGGGAATGTTGTGGAACGATTTATTGCTCTACATCATGTCAAAGATACGACATCTGAGTCATTAAAGGATGCTCTTTGTGGTATTCTTGATAAGTACATGTTATCTATTTCAAGGATACGAGGCCAAGGATATGATGGAGCTTCAAATATGAGAGGTGAATTTAATGGTTTGCAAAGAAAGATTCTAGATGAAAACCCTTATGCTTTTTATGTCCATTGTTATGCTTACCGTTTGCAATTGGTTGTTGTGTCTGTTGCTAGTAGTTGCTCATTTATTCATGATTTCTTTGAGTACATCTCCTTGATTATGACCATAACAAGTGCATCTTGTAAGAGGAGGGATGCTTTGACGGAGGCACAACACCAAGATATTTTAAATAAACTTGAGAGTGGTGAGATATTTAGAGGAAGGGGCTTGCACCAATCATCTAGTCTCATTAGACCCGAGGATACTAGATGGGGTTCACATCATATTACATTGCTTTGTTTGGATCAAATATGGTCCTTCGTGTTAAATGTGCTTAGTATGGTTGATGAAGATGGACGTGGACCATCTCAAGCAGCAAGTTTGATAGAAAAAATGGAGAGCTTTAAATTTGCTTTTATTTTGAAGTTAATGTTAAAGTTGTTTGGTATTATAAACGAGCTTTCACATGTCTTGCAAAGAAAAGATCTTAATATTGTGATTGCCATGGAATTAGTTGATGTTGTCAAAGCTCGGTTGGCCACAATGAGAGATAGTGGTTGGGATGATTTATTTGCTGATGTCCAAGAATTTTGTGTTGCTAAAGGTATTCCGATGCTAAATATGGATGACGAAATACCGGTTCGGGATCGTTCAAGGGTGGAAGGAAGGCCTATCACTAATCTTCATCATTACCGTGCAGATTAGTGTTAACAAAATGACGAGTCTCTTTCATTTTTATTGATAGTTATTTATATATTATATACAATGTAAATTTACAGTTTTAAATTTGTGCCCAGGCTTTATAATTTTTCTGGCTTCGCCACTGCATGCATCAACATATAATAATCAGTAAACAACATTGAACAAAAATAATTTAGTAACTAATTACATAATTAGATGAATAAGTTCTTTGAAGCACAACATATTTTTGCTAGTTGCTTCATCATGGGCTTTGTCATAGCATTCAGTTTGTTATACAATGAAATGATTCTTCAAGCATAGTTATTGATCATAGTTAAATCTCTAAATAATTCAAATATAACAGATGGATATAGATGGTGATATTGACTTTCAAAATGATATGTTGGTAAAAAAATATGAGATATACCTAAAGACAAAATTTATGTGCACGTGTTTACCCATATCCTCGTTATTTTCATTTGTGACACTCATAATTACTAAGCGTTTCTTAAACAGGTGTTTTAGGAAGTTGAATTGTGCATGATCCCGTGATTTTTTCAAATTTTTAATGACATCAACGAGGTTTCATTCAAGAAGCTTAACCATCATTTCCAGTCTTTTAGCTTTTGAGAAAAGGCACCCTTTTTTTCTGATGTCATGGTGTCAATTTCACTTTTAATTAGACAACCCTCTTTATATTGATTGTATTTGATATAAAATACTAAAGATCAAGTGTCATAATAAATGAGTAGGGTAAAACAACACGAAACAAATGTGTAATATTTTGTCACGTTTCATTAAAATGGAGACTTTTTCATGATAGATAAATAAATCAAACATATGATTTGTACCCCAAAAAAAATCATTGTTCTGAGCCGGCCAAATGTCAAAATAGCTAAGATCCAATTCGCCTCAAGTCCACTTTGTCGCTACGCGAAAAAATGACACAGAGTCGCCACCGAATTTTATTTATCCCAAGGAGGGAAAGGGAAATAGCGATAAAACCTTTTAGGAAAGAGTGTGGTCGTCGCAACCAAGTCTTAGGGTTCGGGAGTCGGTTATGCAAGGGGAAGGTATTAGCACCCCCTCGCATCCATCATGCTCGATGGGAACCTCCTAGGTTGTTTAGCTTGAATGGGTGTTTTATTTAAGAGTTTGCTTGTTTTGGGAAAAGAGGAGTTGGTTTTTATTATAGTGCTCGCCAAGGATTGTGGCTCTTGTGCCTACGTATCCTCACTTAAAAGAAGTGAAGAATCAGAGCTCCGTAGTTCGGAGGCTTATGAAATTGTTGTTTGTTGGTTGATTTTATACCTTGAAAAAGGGTTTTTGGATTGATGCCCTAAGGCGGAAAAAAGGTTTGATGAGTTGATGTTATTTATTAGGTTCTTAAAGAGAAATTGTTCTTAATTAAGATTATACACAAAAGACTTTGGATAGAAATGAATGTCTCGAATAACCAAGTCGAGCGCCTTGTATTCAAAACATTCGGAACGAGTGTAGGAGGATTTCATTCTCATTCCTTCTCCACCATCTTGAAATTCATGGTGTACAACCCTAACCATATATTTGTTGTATTTTGGATTTTTATTGATAATAGGATCACTTGATGTTGGATCAAGGTTTATTGTTTGTCAAAATGAATTTGAAGTGATACGGACAAGGTCGGTGGCGATGCACAAGGCAATCGACTTACATGGGTGAAAATGGCTCGATAGAATCGAGAGTTTGTTTTAAAAAGGTTTTTTGGAACCAAAGGTCAACAAGGACCACAACAACATTCACATACTAAAAACATACAAACATATGGGGTTAGTCGCATAAAAAAATCGATACATGCAAAAAAAACGTTTTGGAGGTAAAAATGTCGAAAAAAGTGAAAAAAAACAGAGGTGTGACACGGGTGGCCGTGTTGTTTGACACGGCTCGTGTCATAGGGTACCTGCAATGTGAATTTTTAGGGCGTGACAGAGGTGTGACATGGGTGGCCGTGTTGTGTGACACGACCCGTGTCAGGCTACCAGGTGAAAAATCAAACTTTTCTCTTGTTTTTTGCTTCTTTTTTGTGGTTCTTAAAAAAGGGTCTCTTGGTCCCTTTGGAATCTTACATGATATACACAACACAACAATACTTAACAAAGGTAAATGAATGAATACAAAAGCAAAATGTAAAGAGAGAAAGGTTTGAAGAAATGGATACCCAAGAGCTTTCTATCCTTCTTGCAAGTCCTCCACTGGTTTTGGTTGGATGTGCTTCACTCTTCACTCTGTTGTGAAGGTTATGCTCTTCAAAGATGCTCTTGTGTTTCTATGTCACTCTCTTTTTTCTGTTTCTTAGAGTTTGTTCTTCTCTCTATTTTTTCTGGTTTTCTCTCTTACTCTTTGCTCTCAATCTCTCTATCTCAATGTGTATGGTGAATGATAATGAATGAATCCTTTTGTTTGCAGCTCCTTCCTTTTTTATCTCCACTTTTTCTGCTGCCTTTTTCTGCTGTACCAAAACAACAGCTCTTGCACATTCTCCCATTTTCATAATTTCCATTCTTAGCAATATCTTTTACCACTTTCTTGGTGCAACCCCACTTTCCTTCCATTTCTAGCATGTTTTGCTGTATTTTTCTTCTGCAACACTCTACATTGCCATCCATCCTTGTATCCATTGGTTGGTTATGCTTGGACATACTCATGTAGTCAACACCACTACCTTTTGGACAGAATTTCAAATTCTGATTTTTGGTGTGCAGATGTATCAACCTAAGTTTATCCCCTTGGTTTTGTGACATAAAAATAATTTTGTAACATGATACATATTGCCATTTCTTGCATGGGGCTGTTTTGGATTGCATTCATATTGCTCTTGGTTGAACATACATGGTCTTGATCTTGAAACATACCAATGTTGATTTAGCTCTTAAGTATTTTTCTTTGGATATTTGTGAGCATAATGTAGCACATGAAAACTTGGTGTGGCATGAAGAGTACCATATCATGGATTTGATTAGAGACCTCCAATCTTAAATTCATGATGGATTTTTCTTGTACCATTAGACTTAAAATGGATGAAGTCTTGAATTATACACTTGTGATATTGACTTATGCTTTGCAATTTGAACTCCACTTGATCAAGAACTTGAAACAAAGTTGGATGAAGAAATCTTGAATTATGCCTTGCATTTCATGGTCATTAGGAATATTAATCTTGAATATCTTAATATTGTGTCAAGTAACTTCTCCTTGAAGAAATCTACATGAGTAGACTTTCCCACTTAGATCAAACCTTAGATGAGGAACCTTTTTTTCCATGTAGCCCAAGATAGGCAATTTATCTCATTTGAGATGGAAAATAACAAACCGACCTAGTCCGTACCTTGTAAACCCGCATACTCGATATGCAATAGAACGATGTATGATATGACGAATGTAGGGTATAAAGGCTAAAGGTGAAAATGAGGGTGTGACACACTTCACTCGGCCCAAGGTATAAATTCACTACTCACAAGAAAAATATACACACTTTTTGATCTCCACTTTCACGAGACTCATCTTGAACCTTGAACTGACTTGGGCGTTGGAGTACTAACCATGCAGGTTCACATGGTTCAACGAGGTTCTTATGGGAGGGGATAAATAGTGATAGAAAGTTTCATGTTGTTGGTTGGCATAACGACGGAATTGAAAGAGTGTGGTGGGCCAAGGCTTAGAAAATTGAACATAATGAATAAAGCTTACACATCAAGATTGAGGTGGATGTTTCAATCCGGGTGCAAGAAATTATGGAATAAAGTACTTAGAGGTAAGTATAGTATAAATGGTTTGCATGAGGAGTATTCGGTGAAACCGGCTGATTCAAGCTTATGCGAAGGCACTATCAAAGTGATGCCAATGATTATTGATAACAGTTTTTGGGTGATTGGTGATGGCAAGGCAGCAAACACGTGGGCCAGCAGCTGGATTACTCCAGGGTTTGAGGTGCATGATATGGATATTAAAATTCTGGAGATTCTACATCATGCCAAAGTTGCAGATTTGTTGAACTCCAAGGGTAAGGGTGTCGCTACGCGAAAAATGATACAGAGTCGCCATCGGATTTTATTTATCCCAAGGAGGGAAAGGGAAATAGCGATAGAACCTTTGGGAAAGAGCGTGGTCGTTGCAACCAAGTCTTAGGGTTTGGGAGTCGGTTATGCGAGGGGAAGGTATTAGCACCCCCTCGCATCCATCGTACTCTATGGGAACCTCCTAGGTCGTTTTGCTTGAGTGCGTGTTTTTAATCTAAAATTTTGCTTGTTTTAGGAAAATAGGGGTTGGTTTTTATTAGAGTGATCGCCAAGGATTGTGTCCCTTGTGCCTACGTATCCTCACTTAAAAGAAGTGAAGAATCAGAGCTCCGTAGTTCGGAGGCTTGAGAACTGGTTGATTGTTGGTTGATTTTATACCTTGAAAAAGGGTTTTCGAATTGATGCCCTAAGGCGAAAATAGGTTTGATGAGTTGTATTATTTTTAGGTCTTTTTAAGAGAAATTGTTCTTGATTAGGATTACACAAAAAGACTTTGGATAGAGATGAATGTTTCAAATAGCCAAGTCGAGCGACTTGTATCCAAAACATTCGGAACGAGTGTAGGAGGATTCCATTCTCATTCCTTCTCCACCACCTTAAAATCCATGGTGTATAACTCTAACCATATATTTATTGTATTTTGGATTTTTATTGAGAAAAAGGATCGCTTGATGTTGGATCAAAGTTTATTGTTTGTAAAATTATATTTGAAGTGGTGTGAACAAGGTCGATGGCGATGCACGAGGCAATCGACTTACAAGGTTGAAAATGGCTCGATAAAATCGAGAGTTTATTTTTAAAAATGGTTTTTTGGAACAAAGGTAAAAAATGACCATAACAAAGTATCCACATACAAAAATCATACAACCACATGGGGTTAGTCGGCTAAAAAAATTGAGACATGCAAAAAAACGCGAACTCCTTGAAAAAAAAATTTTTTAAGGAAAAAACAGGGAAAACTAAGGGAAG